TGCTTTGCTTCTGTCCATGTCCATGTGGTGTCTCTTCCTGCTGTGTGTGATTGTCTTTGTGTGTCTTTGTGGTTGTCTAACGTCAGCTCAGAGCTCCTGGACTCGCTGCTGCTCTGGTTTTAATGTTCAGTAACGAAGTCAAAGCAGCAGAAAGTCGCTCAGGATGCAGCCAAAGTTCTGCTTTAACTGGAAACGACTTTAAATGTGCAGTGAGATCCTCTCTGAGCCACAGCTTCACCCTGGACTCGAGGTTTTGCAGCTTTTTATCCATTTTAAGGCCATTAATGAGAAAAAACACAAACAGAACAAATAATGAGCGTTTCTAGTGTCGGACGTCTTTAACGAAGTCAGAGTTTAAAACTGAATCCGACTCTAGATGTGGGTCTGACCTGAACTGAACTCCGTCAGAAGCTGCGATGCACAAAAAAAACAAGAAACGGTTCCGTGTTTGTTCATCTGAAGGTTTCTTCTGCAGTTTGTTCACAGAAACGAGGAAACGAAACGAGAAGCGTCCTGAGAGGCACTTTGTCTTCATTCTGCTTCACTTTCTGCTCTTTTTGTGTCACTTTTTATTCATGTTGTGTCTGTTTGTTGGTTTTTTGATCTATTTGTGTTCATTTTGTTCACTTTCTGGTGTTTTTGTGTCTCTATGCAGTCGTCTTGTGTTTAATTGTGCTCATTTTGTGTCTCTTGTTCATCGATCTGCATCTCTTTCTGGACCTTGTGTACATGTTTACACTCATTTGATGCCTATTTGTGCTCATTTTGTGTCCTTTTCGTTGGTCTGCATCTCTTCCTGACCTCTATGTGAGCCTTTCATGTCTTTTTGTTGACTTTGCATCACTCTTTTGTCGTCGCAGCAGTCACGTGAGGGTCACCTTTCATCTGTTTGTGTTCGTTTTGTGCGTCTGCTGTCGGCTGCAGAGAAGAGACGAGGAAGTGAAAACAGGAAAACCAACGTCCTGACACGCTCAGTTCTCAGCGACGTCATCAGACTGACTCTTGATCAGTGATTTATGAGGAATTCTCTCGTTGTTCAAAGGAAACGTGCAGACGGAGTTTGTGTTGAAGCTGCTGCCGCTGGTTTTACCTTCATGACCCGTCGCAGCCTCGACATAAAGACAAAGTAAAGTCAGTCACACCTGGTCTGACCTCCTGAACAGCCAATCAGAGAGCAGCAGGTCACAGGTGCACCTGTAAGGAGGCAGCGGAGGTCTGTACTGAGCATGCTCAGTGGACTCTGTTCCTACAGTCACATGTTGTGATTGATCGATTGATCGATCGCTGATTGATGTTTACAGCTCTGACTGATTAGTTTGTGTCTCTNCCCAGACTAGCCCAGGAAACAGAAACATGACATTTATAATTGAAGTTCCAACAGTTTAAATTCCCTTTAAATGAACAAACATCTTAGTTTTCATGAATAAAATCTGGTGTTTATGCTGCAGATCATAAATCATGAAACGTGCTGGACTGTAAAAACAACAACTACTGAAGAAAAGTTTAGTTTGTCAAAACTGATGTTCGTCATCACGGTGATGAAGTACGTGTCCTATAAAATCATCTTCTAGATAACGAGGAGAACAGCTTCATGTTTTAATCACTTTAGTTCCTGCTGCTGGGCAGTCGATGGTTAAAAACACGTTTCATTCATGTTCCTCCTGCGACATGAGGGAGCAGCAGCAGGAGTACTAGCAGGACTAGCAGTACTAGTAGTACTAGCAGTACTAGTAGTAGTACTAGTAGTAGTACTAGCAGTACTAGGCATAGTAGTAGCAGTAATACTCACATCACAGCTTTGGTCTTGCAGTTGCTCATCACCACGCATCTGATTTTGTTTTTAGGAACAGGAAACCTGGTGTGGCCCTCACAGCATCCGTCCTTCAGAGCCTCACTTGGACCGAGCACACCTGCAGACACACAGAGTCAGCGATCAGCGATCAATAACCAATAATCAGGTCAGACTCACGGTTAATGAAGGTAAAGCAGAGGAACTGACTGGAGGAGCTGAGAGTCAGGAGGACGAGCAGAGTGAGGAGAGGCAGCAGAGTCTTCATGGTTCAGATGTTCTCCTGGATGTTCTGCTGGATGTTCTGCTGCTGGATGTTCTGCTGGATGTTCTGCTGGATGTTCTCCTGCTGGATGTTCTGCTGCTGGATGTTGAGTCCTGCTGTGCTCCTCTCTGATCGGTCCTGTCTTTATATCCATCTGGCGCTTCCACATTCATGCACACTCATTCTTAGAAAGGATGCTTCTTCTTCTGCTTCTTCTCTTTTCCGTCCACATCGTTCTGCTAACACGTGTACTCAGAAGTACTCAGAAGAGGCGCTCAGAGGAAACTCACTTCCTCGTGTTCAGACCCGATCAGAAGGATGAAAGCTTCTTGTTTCTCAGCTTCATCAGAACTCAGAACAAATTCACAGCTTTTAGGATTCAGATGTATAAAAACAGGTTTGTGACTTTATTCACAGCTTTTGTTTTTTATGGTTCACATGAAACAGTAAAATGATCCGGTGAAGGATTTACAGATGAACTGGTTCTGTTCTGTCGGTTCATCGTTAAACAACAGAAAACGTTTTTCACTGCAGCTGCATCAGTAAAGATCATAAATATCTGATTTTATGACCGATTTACTGATGAAACACAGGAAGCACCGTTTCCTGCAGGTCCGTCCACTGGCTGGTCCATAACGCTGTGGTTCTGGTTCAGCTCGGCCGGTTTCTAAACCCGACTGTAGTTTGGACTCTGTCTCTGGGTTTAGTTTGGTCTTTAAATCTGCTAAATATTGGATTTTATTTCTCAAGTCGTGATTTGACGCCTTGGACCTGAAGCTGACGTCCAGAACCGGAGCAGTCAGAATAAGAGCAACGGTGATGAAGCAGGATGTTAGCGGGTCGATGAGCTCACCGGCTAACATGAATGAATGAATGGATGAATGAATGAAAGCGAGCGGCTGTGACGGTTCCTGTGGTACTTTCAGATCCTCTTTGTTCCCAGGAAGCGTCCGACTCGTTCCTTCTAAGGCATCATTGTGGTTTTCTGACATTAAACTTGTGCTGATGTTGATTTCTATTGAAAAGTGAGTTTGACATGAATTTAAAACGTCCACGATGACGCCACCGTTCAGTGAATCATCTGTTCCTCATTCTGATGGACGGATCGGATCAGGTTCAGTTTAGCTGAGTCATGAAGCTGCGTCCAGTCAGTGTTTCAGAATCCAGAGTTCTAGAAGATCTCCACATGGTCGGCCTCCTGCCACAACCATCATCACTGGTTCCTCCATCGTGCCACTAATCAGAGCAGCCAGGGTTCTGGCTAAACCCAGTGCAGCCCAGTGTGAGCAGGAACCAGGAGGTCCAGAAGGAGCCACAGCAGCACTGATCAGGGCTGCAGTGGTCGTCCTCCTATAATGACTCCACGGACAGTCAACTACTGTCACTATGGAGCTGTGGACACCAGACAAAGGCAGCTGCTTCAGACTTGGCACAGGGCTGATCAATGGAGACCAGAGTTNTTCTGGACTGTGGGAGGAAGCCGGAGAACCCGGAGAGAACCCACGCTGCACGGGGAGAACATGGAGACTCCACGCAGGAAGATCCCGGGTGTCCTCCAACTTCAGGATTTGCAGGTGAATCCAAAGAGAACCTGATGGACACAGGACGAGCCCTTCACAATAAAAGCAGCTCATGTTGGAGTCTGATGTGGGCTCCAGAGCTGACGGAGCTGCAGCGCCACCTGCTGCTCACACAGAGTTCTGAAGTTTCACCTGGCGTCTGATTTTTGTTTTTTTTTTACAAAGCTTTCTTTAACAAAGCTAAAGACGCTTCGATCAGGAATTTATGCAACAACAACACAAAGAATCTGGTGAATAAAAACAGCAATGATGCAGAAAATAAAAGTGTTTGATGCAGTTTAGCTTCACGTTTGTGCAGCAGAATCAGTCTTTTGTTGTATTTTTAACGGTATAGCAACGAGCTTTTATCAGTAGTTTAAGTGTTTGGAGCGAAGCAGAGCCTCACCTCCACCTGTCTGATCAAACATCCGTCACATGTCAGCAAAACAGGAAGCACAGAGAGCCCACGTACAAAAATAAAGGTTTTATTCAGAAAGACGTCAAAATAAGAAACATGTATTTAAAATGTGGTCGAGATAAACAGTCAAACTTCTCGTTAGTATCTGAGAGAAAACGGTCTGAAGATAAAATGTGATTCAAACGAGATCAAGAACCCAAAAGCTTCTTTAAATTATCACTGAACAGACTCTGCTGTTGGAGCAAAGACAGAATTCACAATTTCTGATTATTTTCCACGTTTTTAAGCTCGTTTGCAGTTTTTCCTGAAGCGGTTTGGGTCTTGTTGAACTCAGCCAGGCGGTTCTTGGACCAGGCCCATTCCGGATCCACACAGAACTGTTTGCCGCTGATAGCCGTGACTCTGCANGAATCTTGTAGCTGTAGGTGAAACGACCTTCCGACAAGAGTCAGTTGAATGCAAAAAACACTGCGAAAATGGACAAAATGGCCATTGATCGAAATTGGACGGGCCACCATTTCCAAACCGGGCCTCATCTGCGGAGCGTTTGAAGAACTTTTAGTCACCACGTCCTGTAGTTTTTAGCCTGCCAAATGTCAGGAGTGTACGACGAACCCCCTAGGAGGAGTTCGATTTAGAAAGCAAAAATGGCCCACCATGCTCACAGTTTTTCCAACATGGCGGATTTCCTGTCGAGTTTACAGAAACATGCTAATGGACTTTTTTGTGCGTCACAAAAAAGTTACATATGTGTAGCAAATGTAGTAGTTGTAAATCAAACATAGCCCCAATGGGAATCTGTTGAAATATTGTAGGGGGCGCCGTTGAGCAACTTGGCCCAGCCTGACTTTTTTATTCATCCTGACCTGCTCTATATGCCTACAAAATTGCGTAGCTCTAGGCCAAATGTGCTTTTGACAATTTAGAAGGTGGCGCTGTGGAGCAATTTTTCTATTGAGGTGTGTATTGTTCTTCCAAATTATAAAATGTTTCACCGGGTCTGATGTACATGGCAATTTTGGTGAGTTTTCGAGTATGTTTAGGGCCTCAAAAACGCGTGTCTTTGGCACGAATAATAATAATAATCCGAGCAGTTCCAATAGGGTCTTCACACCCTTTGGTGCTCGGACCCTAATAAACACAGAGACAAACAGCAACAAGGCAAAACGTCCACAAACACTCAAAATGATGATTAAAAGACACACAACAGACTCAGAGAGACTGAAGCAGCCACAGAGACGAACCAGAGCCTCAGAGGAACATGTGGACCTGGTTCTGTTCTACTGAGAACCTCCAGACGATGAACTTTGCTTCAATCTGCCTTCAAATGATCTGTAGTGGAACCAGAGCTCCGTCCGTCCTGCAGCGCTGATGCTTCACACAGAGGGAAGCGTCTCCGGGCATTAAACCAGCAGCTCTCTGTTCATTTTGTGTCTCTTTCACAGGTTTGCGTCTGTTTTTTGTGACTTTGTGCGTCTTTGCAGTCGTTTTCATTTAATTGTGTTTATCGTGCGTCTCTTTGTTGTTTTGTTGCTCGTTTTAAATCTCATCGTGTTCGTTTTGTGTCTCTCTGAACATTTTGTCTTTTTTGTGTTATTTGGTTTATTTGTTTGTGTCTTGTTTCCAGGTTATGATGGATTTAAACTTTTAAGACCTTCAGCGTGACCTTGATCTTTGTCTCAAGGTCATGAGCAGTTTAAAGGCCTCTGATGTCTTCCTGGGTCACTAAACTAAACTCTAACCTCTAACCTCTGTGCATGTTCTGACCCGGAAATCTAACCACCGGGAGACGGGACCGCACCCACGTATGAAGGTTCAGCTTCAAACTCATCTCCTGGAAAGCACGAGGACAACAACAAAACACACACACACACACACACACACACACAATCTGGTACTCTACAGCTGCTCATCAATGAAAAGATGCAAAGCAGCGATAAACACAAACTAAATGTCCACACTGATGCTGTCGCTTCTTACTGGGATCTTCTTCTAACAGCTGATATGAAAGGTTCTCCAGAGGTTCTCCTGAGGTTCTTTGTCTCCACCTGCTGGACTGAAGCAGCAACACCTGAGCAACGTTCTGCTGTGTTCTGCTGTGAGGACGATCCATCAGCTTCATAATAATAATATGGTGGAAACAGGAATCCCATTAATCCCAGTACGACCAGTAACTACACTGAGATTCCACTGGACTGGTTTCCTGGAGGCTGTTCATCTGTGTTCAGGAGCTCAGTACACACTGAAGCTCTTCTGTAGGACGTTAAAGACAAAATGCAGTGGACATGAACTCATTCAACAGTCCAAGCTGATATATAATCAGCAGACGTTAGTGGATCACAGCTTACTGAGGAAATCACACATTGGTGTTAATGAAGTGATCTCTGATGTCACTGACCCGAAGATGCTGTTTAGAGAAGATCCAATGTTTGCTTGTTTAAATAAATAAATAAACGACATAATAAATAAATCACATTTTCTAATATCTATTCCACAACATCAGCTGCTGCTCAGGTTGAAACACGTCATCAGAGTATTATTGTGATCTGGTTTAAGCTAACATACTGGCTAATGCTACCTTCCCTGGGCTAAAGTTATCTTGTTAAAGCTAACGTAGTGGCTAGTGCTACCTTCACTAAGCCAATGTTATCATGTTTAAGCTAAAGGAGCAGCTAATGTTACCTTCACTGGGCTAGTGTTATCTTGTTTAAGCTAACATAGTAGTTAGTGTTACCTTAACTAGGGTAATCTTGTTTAGGCTAGTACAGTGGCTAGTCAATCAGTTGTTCGGTCTATAAAATGTTATATGTTGGCTGATGTTGTCTTGTTGATGCTAATGTTATTCATGTAAAGAGTTTAGGCTATTGCAGTGGCTAACATTATCTTGTTCAGGCTAAAGCTGAAGCTAATGTTACCTTGCTAGGCTAATGCTATCTTGTTTGGGCATTTGTGCTGTCTATTGTTGTCTTGTTAGTCCAGTAGTTGTTTGGTTTATAAAATCTTCAATGTTGGTTAATGTTGTCTTGTTTAGGCTAATGCTACTTTGTTTAGTTTAATGTAGCAGTGAATGCTACCTTGTTTAAGCTAATGTTGCCTTACTAGGCTAATGCTATCTTGTTTGGGCTGCTACAGAGGATGATATTATTTTGATCTGTCTGACATGACGTGTTGTTTTATCCTTAGAAAATAATTTTAGTGTCACAGAGGAGGAAAGAAAATATTCACACTGAAGAAGCTGCAATCACAAAATTTAGATTACTTTTTCTAAAACTGAACTGTTCAATGATCAAAATAGCTGCCGATCAGTTTATCATCGATCAATCGCTGCAGCTCTGGTTTCTGTTGTGTCGTCTTCACCGGACTGAGGCCAGTTTAAAAGAAGAAAACCAAACCGAGTCAGTTTAATTTGCTCTTTTTATTGGTTAGGTCATCCAGCTACCTTACCTTCAAATAATTAAATTAAAATTCTTTTAAATATCGTCTCCAAAGAAGAAAAGCACAACTAAAAGCAAACTTCATTCACGCGTTTAAAAGGTGGAAACAAACAAAAAAAAATCATCCTAAAACACTCGAATCACGACATCAAACTAACAAACTGAATCTATGACTCTGTAAAGAACTGGTGCAACATGGGCCAGAACAAACGCTGCGGTGCTGCCTTCATGTCCGTCCCGTCCGTCCTCCGGGTGTCTCTGAATCTCTGCGGGGCTTCCCTCGCCGTCTGCAGGGGCCGAGTGAGGGCTGTGATTGGATGTGGGTGGGTGTCAGCGTCACGATCGGCTGCTCTGATTCCTAAAAACCAAAGGTGTTCTCGCCGCTGTAGGCCACGTATAAAAATCCGTCCTCGTCCTTCTCCTTCTCGTACAGCTGCCCCATCGTGATGCTGCAACAGAACCAGAACCAGAGTTAAAGCTGGAGGACTGACGTGGAGCCGCACGCTGCTGAAAACAGTCCCTGATAAATGTCTGTTATATAAATGAATCCTGGTGTCAGTGAGCTGTTTCTGAAGATGAATGTGTTCAGGTTTCTGCCTGACAGGCTGCACTCAGGGCTAAAACGTCCCCTCAACATGTATTATCTGCAACAGGAGCGTCCACAAACATTCACACTTCATCTTTAACGCCCACAATTAAACCGTCTTCCCTAAAAGTTTATTTGTCTATCGTTAATCATAAATGTACTTTATGATGTCTGACGCTGTAATGCTTCCTATTTCCTGAAAACGAGTAAATCATTGATCCACTATAAAGCCGATTTACTGATCAAACCTCCCGTATATGAAAACTCACTGCTTCTCTTCAGGAAGTAAATTAAATATCTTGTTTCCTGTATGCAGCTATGTTATCTTCTTCAGGCTAACCTAGCTGCTAATGTTGTGTTGTTATCTTGTTTAAACTCCATATTATCTATTTACCCTGTTTAGGCTAATGTAGTGGCTAATGTTATGTTGGTAAGGCTAATGCTGTGACCGACACCATCTTGTTTAGGCTGTTCTTGGCTTGTTTAGCATCATCTTATTTAGGGTAATGCAGTGGCTAATGTCATCTTGTTAAGGCTAACATTAGCTTGTTTAGGCTAATGCCGTGGCTAACGTTATCTCAGATTGGTTAGCTCAGGTGCTGATGACCTGCTATACTTAAAATCAGCACTGAAGTCGTGTGAATTCCTAAAATATCGTCCAGCATTTTGATTTCATTTGCAGAACTCCTGTTTGTCCCAGAACGTTCTGCTACGCGAGTCCCGGTCGTGAAGCTGAGCCGCTCACCTGGACTGCGGCACCGTCTTGTCCACGAACAGGAAGATGGCTTTCTCTGAGGGCAGCTGGATGCGTTTCCTGATGATCCACATGAACTGGGCCACCGTGATGTCGGAGGGCACCAGGTACTTCCTCTTATCGATGTCCACGATCTGTGATCCGGAAACCTTCTCCACGATCACCTGACAGAACACAGACACCATGAATACCCCCCGTCCCCATGAAGCAGCTCCAGTACCACCAGACAACAGACGTCAGGGAACCAACCGGCCCCCATGAAGCAGCTGTGTGAGCACGACTTCCTGTTCACTCACCGGGACCCTGTCAGGGTATTTGTTGCGGATTTTGGCCGACTCTATGCATCGATGTTCTGCAGAACACAAACAAACATTCATGTTAATCAAGTGACAACAGAAATACACAATCCTCATGGACGCCAGCATCCAGTTGGTTTACATGCTGCTCACGAACCCAAACTGGGTTCTGTATCGTATTAATGTGGCTCTAAGAACTAGCAGCAGCTAAGAAACTATAAATCTGTGAAATCAGACATTTGTAAGAGCTGCCTTTGGTGTGTAACGCGTGGACGTATCGTCCAATCACCGGTCTGGTCTGTCAAAACAAACTGTTCTTGAACTACTCACGCGGTTGAAGCTGAACCAAATCTGAGCTTCAAATTGGGACATTTTACTAAAATAGTTTTTGTCGGCATGTTTCATTTAAAATTCACCATAAAGAGGCCGCAGTGAAAAACAAGATGACGGGAAGAAAAACAAAGTCTCAGAGTTTAAAGTGTTGATTTAAATAAAACTGGACGTTTGTTTACACGAGAAAAAAAAAAAAAAAAAAAGATGATGTAGCATGACGGCAACAAGGCTCGTGTTCACGGTTCTTCAGTATGAGCGAGCTTCCTGAGGATTCATGATGATCACATCAACAGCAGCACTGAGCTCAGTTTGACTTTGAGCTGCTGCTGATTGACGGAGATCAATACCTCTGATCGGAGGTTCACAGTCCGTCGATCAGCCCAGACTGACCGGCTGAACTACAAAACCACCGATCCTCAGAATTCACTCAGTGATTTAACGTTATCGCCGCGACTGTGGAGCAAACGTGTCCCAAACGTTCCACTGAACCGGCGTCTGTTCAGAGGGTCCAGACGACGACAGACGAAGCTGCTGATGAAGACGAAGCAGAGTCATGAACCAGATCGTCCAAAAGCAGAACTGAAGAAGGAGAAGGACAAAGGGCTCAGCAGAGGTCCAGTCTGACGGCGAGCCTGACAGACACCGTCCAGCCGGCCGCTGATATAAACACAGCAGCAGTTTCTCGGGACGAATCTGCAGCTTGTGGATCCAGAACATCTGAAACTCTGCTGAAAAACCAGAACCGACGGAGGCTCTAAGTTTTCAGTTGGTCTGGAATCAGAACCGTCTGTCTGTTCACAACACTGCGACCAGTCCGATGTCGCTCTGTGAGAAGCTACAGCAGCTGAAGCACAGAACTGTGCCGGTCTGAGCTGAACCACATCGATCCAGGACAGCAAACAGTTTTCTGGAGTCTATAAATGATTCACGTGTTTGTTATCTCCATCAGCTCATAAACAAATCATCTGGATACGAAACGTCTGAAATGCAAAATAACACGGTGGTTCCTAAAGCGATGCGCTGGAGGCTCCTCCTCAGCATCACCAGCACTCAGGTGTTTCTGTTGTTTTTGGCTTAAACAGGGAAACGGTGCAGCAGCCGCCTCGACAGAACCAAGGCTTAGAGGTCCAGTTTAATGAGATGTGCTCTAAAGCTGTTATTAAAAATAGCTCATTATCAATAATCATCAACTAGAACTGAACACTGTCTTTTTATGTTCACTGTAATCTGAATACTGCTGTTTAGCAGCAACATCCTCAACTCATGTAACCTTCATGTGATGATGATAATAATAATAATAATAATAATAATAATAATAATAATAATAGGCTCAGACTGTAGATGTGCTGCTGCATCAGGCAGCTGCTCTGACATCCAGACTGTTGCTGGATTTTAAACCTGATGTCTGATCAAAATAAATCACATGTTTAGTTCTGGTTCAGAACCTTTCTGACTGTGTGGAAGATAAACAGGAAAAGTTCTGCTTTAATGAAACCCGTAGAACAACTAAAGCTCTTCTGTGTTTCTCTACATGTGGTCACCAGTACTTGTGTAAACCAGGTCCAGGTGACGTCCTCTCAGAACCCTGGTGCTGAGTCCAGGTCCTGGAGGACAACAGTCGAGCTGCTGCTGCAGAGCAGCAGCCTGGACCTGGTCCGGGCCTCCCCAGCCTGGACCTGGTCCGGGCCTACAGGAAGTGGAGCGGACCAGGAGCCGCTCAGGGACCCAGCTGCTGACTCTGACTCACGGAGGCTTCATCAGCAGCTCCACGGCTCCTGGGTGTCGGTGTCTCCCGTCCGGCTGAGAGCAGGACGGTTCTGCTCCTCCACCTCCTCCCAGCAGCTCACATCCATGTTTACAGCCATAATGACCTGGACCGACACCGCCTCCTCCCTAAACAAAGGCCGGAGGACAGGCCCGGCCCAGCCCGGCTCGGTTCAAGACCCGATTCTGAGCGACACTTTCCCGTCATTACACCCCGCATTAAGTCCCACCGGAGCCGAATAACGGCGCCGCTACCCGCGGCCCTGCGCCGACATTTCTCCTGAAAACAACAGCTCCGTCCTCCGCCTTACCCAACGAGTGATCCTCTTTGAACATCCATTTCATGTTTCCGGGTCTTTCCGCTCGACGCAGCAGATTGTGAACGCGGCTGTCGGTTAGTTTGAGGAGTGAAACCGTCTCTGTCCCGCTGCTTCTATCCGGTAAATCGGTGAACAGACGACAAACGGCAGAAATCAACGGTCGATGAAAACAACAAACAACAAACACGGTCCTCCTTCTTCACCATCGGCCCGCTGCTCCGCCCACCGCCTGACGTCACAGCGGGCCGCACCATTCCGCCGCGCTCAGGAGGGGGGACCGAGAGGGAAACCTGCGCTGATTTTAATCTGTACACGTCAATAATTTAAACTTTAAGTAATTATGAAACGCTTTAGCAATAAATCCAAAAGTATGATTACATTTTAGCAACTCACTTACAGTCTGTGTGATTTTAATAAGACAGCAGCTTGACAGTGTTCCCTGTTGGTCGTTCTTGGTCACACTCGCTGGAACATAAACACAAGCAGCTCCTATATAAAGAGCTCTCAGACGGACGGGCTGGTTAATGGCTGCAAATAAGGAACATGTCACTGGATCAGCTGGTTGAACAAAACGTGTCGTCGTATGGCAAGCCCTTTTAACATTTAATAGCTACATTTGACTCTCCAGAATTTACATTATAGATATCAACAACATAAAAAAAATACAGTTGGTGATATCTGCAATTCAATTTTGACTAGTCACAACGACACTTAGAGATGTCTGTAACCCAGTTTTGATTAGTTGGAACTGAGTTACAGATGTCTGCGATGACCTCAAGAAAACCGCCCTTCGCCTCATCACGCTTCCTAAATGCCACTTGCAGATATCTGTAAATCAGTTTTAACTAGTAGAAAGTCAGGTACAGATACCTCTAACTGTCTTGGTGACCAGTCAAAACTGTGTTGATGCCTCTGCTCATGCCAGGCTTCTCATTGGATACTGACCCAAATGAGCTGGAGGAGAGAAGAGGAAACATAATTTTAACAGCTTCTGAGCAGAAGAAATGGCGGCTGTGGTCCTCGATAAGATAGTTAGAAAGTGCCATGAAACAGAACAGACGTGATTCAAAAACCACGTTTCCATGATTTCCAAGACCCTACAACTGCCGCCAATAGTTTCTGTAAAGTCGAGTGAATGCTGGGGAGTCTCTCGGGGACACCATGGGAGGAGCGCCGTGGCTTCTAGTAAAGTTTTATTAGGACATGAACATATCCTGGTGCAGGTCCGGAGGAGATCCACTGCTCAGATGGTGGGGAACAGAATATACCAGAACCGAGGGAGCAGGGAGGAGGAGGGGCTTGCTTCTGCCGTAATTACAGATTTCTGCAACATCAATTTGCTGAGTTGAAACTCTGTTTTAAGATTTCTGTAATTACATTTTGACTAGTCATAATAAAAGATATATCTCGAACTTGAGATATGTTTAACCACAGTTCATTCATAGATATCTATAACCTGATAACAGATATCTGCAGCTAAACTATGACTGTACATAAATCTAGTTTGAGAGATCTGCAGTTTCACTCTGACTAGGCCTAATTCCAGTTCAAGACATCTGCAACATCATTTTGACGAGTTAAAATGTAAGTAAAGACATCTACAAAGGCCATAACAGATATCTCTAATGGAGGGGAGTTGAAGATATCTTGATATGAAATTGTGACGAGTCAGAATGAAAATGTAGATATTTTATAAAGTGGAATTATGGATAGTCATAAAGTAGTTGTGGGCTGCAAAGTGGTGCAGTTGGTCGCCTCACAGCTAGAAGGTCGGTGGTTGGCGTCCCGGTGAGGACACCCGGAATCTTCCTGCGTGGAGTCTCCATGTTCTCCCCGTGCAGCGTGGGTTCTCTCCGGGTTCTCCGGCTTCCTCCCACAGTCCAGAAACATGCTGAGGTTAATTGGTGATTGTAAATTGTCCGTAGGTGTGAATGTGAGTGTGCTTGGTTGTCTGTCTCTAAGTGTAGCCCTGTGATAGACTGGTTACCTGTCCAGGTGAACCTGCCTTCACCCTGAGTCAGCTGGGATAGACTCCGCCCCCCATGACCCTGGTGAGGATTAAGGTGTAGAGATGATGGATGGAATGGGATAATTTAGTTGCAGATATCCACATCTATCCATAATTGAATTAAAGATATCTGTAATGAGACCCCGTACACATCAATGGGGAGAGTGAAGTCATCTGTAACTACAGCTGTGGACAGGAATCCTGTCATTGTGGATGTCTGTGTTGCATATGCAGACTAGCTATTAAATGTTAAAGGGCTGGTCATAGTCGTCGTGGTGTCCCAGGAGCAGGTCAGAACCTTCACTTTAGGAGCTGGGCAGGCTTTAAACTCAGTGACTTAATCTTTATTTAACCAGGAGATAAAAATCTGTCTTTTGAGGTCACTTGGCCAAGAGGACACGCCCTGATCAGACAACATTATCAAATGAGTACAATAAGGGCAAACATGAGGCCCTTTGAAGCTATCAGCAGCATGTAGGGCATTAACGCAAATAAAGGCAAAGGTCACCGTTCTCCAGGAAAACATCCCGGATCAGCCCCAGTTCTGGTGCTAGTCTGAGAGAGAGCTGATCATCCTGGATACAGAAATACTAAAGGCCCGGCATTACAAACTGGGCCTTTACAGTTGTTCTGGGTCTCTTGTCTGCCTTTCTTTGGCCTTTTTGTGGTCCTCTTGTGTCTTCAGATTGTATTATAAATAAATATTAGAAACGGTATATTTTCTATTTAGATAGCAAACAAAACTTTGGAAAACTTTTCTTTTTACGTTCTGAGTTTAAATTACTTGGAAAATTTGAATTCTAATGAAGTAAAATATATTTTCTGAAGTGTCTGTAGTTGAATTTTCAGGTTCTGTTTGGCAACACGTGTGTGCTCATGAAATATCAGTTATTGAAATAAAACACGAATAACTTCCAGTCTTTGTTGTGGACGAGGTTTTAATTCAGCTTCAGTAAACATACAGCGTGTGGAGCCACACGTTTCTGCATTAACGAGATGCTGTAATATTTTTTAAAAAACGCTGCTGAGGAGAAGCTCCGACTCTCTGCTTCCTGCTTCATTTTTTCAGTGTCGGTCCAGCTCTGGTCTGGTTGTCTGGCGGCAGCGGTTTCCCCAGATGATGTCCTGTCGTGAGGCCGTACGGATTCGCCTCCTGGTCCTTCCTGGCTTCGGGCTTCATCAGGAAGCCGCCCTGGAAGCTGAGGTTGAAGAGCTCGCATGGCGCGAAGCTCAGAGGCTTCTCTGCCATCAGTCCTCTGAGCCGAGCTCGCCATCCCTCCAGCATGGCGGCTCTGGCGGCGTGCGGAGAGTGAGCCGGACTCCAGAAGATCTGAGGAGCCAGAACCTGGAACCCACAGAAGTGCAGAATTCCGTTCTGATGGAAGAGAAGAAGCAGAGCAGAAGGTTAGCATCAGTGTCAGATGGTTCTCATGTTGAGTGAATGAGGAAGTTGATCCACCTGAAGAGGCCACAGAGTGACGTTGATGTCTCCGTTTATTCCATCCGGCTGGTACATGGTCTGTATGGCTCCAGTGGAGAAGGACAACATCGCTTTCTTATCCTGCAACCAAACACAACACGCTGCAATGAGAGTAGCTCAAACCAGGACAAAACCTGAACCTAAACCAGGACGGAACTAGTGTCAGATAAGACCCAAACCCTCCCAGACCAGCCAAAACAAATCTAAAATACGGCTAAAATTTAAAAAGCATCATCTTTGATATCATCTAAAAAACTAAAGTGAGTTAAAGTCAAGTCCAACAACTAGACAGAAACCAGTCAACACTTGTAATCGTTCAGCTGTTGTTCCATAAGTATGGAGGCATTATGGTAACGACTCTGTGTCCATGTGTATGGAGGTCGTCTGTCTGCATCTCAGTCTGTTCGTGAGATTTGTCGATGTGTAAAGAAGTTGTCAATGCGAACAGAGGCATTCGTAGCTGAAAAGTCTACGTATTCGAGTCGAGCGGCTTCACCATTGGCTGTCTTTGTACACATGACTTTTGCTGCACTTCTACCGTGAGAGATGTGAAACTGAAGAGCATCTGAACATCAGGGTTTCTGTGGCCTGAGCTCAGGCTCACAGGATCGTCCTGGTGGCTGCTGCCGGTCTGCTGCTCTGTTCCTCAGTAGGTATGTACTGAACACTCTTATTACACACTGACAGCTGTTGTTACGTGTCCCAATTTCAATACAGATGAGCAGATTTTTTACACATTTGAAAGCCTGATTACAGACAAATTGTTAGAGGACTTCTGGTTCGCATCGACAACTTCTTTTACAAACTGACAAATGTCACTTTGGACGAGCAGACAGACAACCTCCATACGCATGGACTCATAGTTTTCCTACCATAATGTCCCCAGACATAAAAACCTGAAAGCACTGTGACCTGTAACCAGCTGAGGCTGTTTCTGTGTCTTCATGAGTGAAACTTGAGCTCAAACCAGTTTAATTGACCAGTTCAGCTTTGTTGTGTGTTTGTCGTCACGGCGTCGCACCTTGAACAGTCCGTTGTTGTACACATTTTGCAGAGAAAAGGCGAAACCTTGAGTCAGGACTCGATCCATCCAACCCTTCATGATGGCAGGAACACTGAACCAGTACAGCGGGAACTACACACACACATACACACACACGCACACACACACACACACACACACACACACACACACACACACAGGCACACACACACACACACACAGGCACACACAGACACACACACACACACACACGGCTTGATGTAAATAATCAACTTTTAAGTGACAGAAATGACCACAAAATGATATCAAACAGCCTAAAGTGTCAAAAAAACAACCACAAACAGACACAAACGACATAAATACAAACAAAGTGACCACAAAGACACACACAATTCCCACAAAGTGACAAAAGACACACAAAACTACTACAAAGACAGAAAAAAGTTCCACAAAGGGACGGAAAACAATATAAAGACACAAAAAATTACTACAAAGATGAAAAAAAAGTCCCACAAGTAGACACAAAACAACCACAGAGTGAGAGGAAACAACACAAAGCGACACAAAGCAACACAAAGCGACACACTGGTGCAGGTTGGTGGTCTCTGACCTGGAAGATGACGAGTTCGGCTTCAGTCACTTTCTTCTGCTCGGCTTTGATGTCGTCGCTCAGCCGGTCCTCCTCCCAGGCCGCCATGGTCTCCTCCCCGTACTGGAACAGCTCGCAGTTCTTCAGCCCGCCTGCACAGACACACAACCACACACAACCACACACACCTGAGTCAGAGCCACAG